TCGAAGAAATACATTGGGTTCTTTTTGTCTGAAAACTTGAAGGAAACATAATAGGGGATAGTGAAACATGGAGTAGGAATTACTGTCGCTTTGTAATTGACAAACTTTAGTGTTAGAATTTTTACACCTACGTAATCACCTCACATAATCCCAAAAGCTCAATTCTTAACCTATATTACACATCCTTGTGTAATATTTCAACCTCTAGGTATATTGTAATAGCTAAATTTATGGTTCAAACATGGTTTTTTTTTTGGCTTGAGCCAATCGAATGTTTTTTGTTATTATTATTAAATTTGTAGGGGTACATTGGTTATAGATTGCCATAGTTTACCTACTTTATTGTAAAATATTTGTAAATGAGATGCTGTCGAATGGTTATCAATTGAAAACTTCTCACACAGGGTTATAAGACCTACGTATGATTAAATCGAAAAAAAAATTTTGCATACAACATAAAGTTTTGTTAATTATGTATTTGTTTGTGAAACAAATATGAAAATTAAGTGTATGTTTGTAGCATTTAAACTCAAAAACTTCTCTAGTGACTTTGTACAACTTTTAAACTGTTCTTAGAGGCATCAGGAAAGTGTATACAACAATATATATACAATATACATATAGTACAATTATTGGTTACATATTATTATACAACTGTTATAAGAATTAGTAGAAACATTGAACATACGTTTTATATAAATATACTTATAAAAAAAGCTTTGACACGTGCAACTTGTATTATATATTTTATTTATATACTATTAATATTAAATTGTATTGCTAAGTGCACTCAGTGAGCAAAGGTGAACAAAAACTCGAAGGTAAGTAATTGTTGTTAATGATCATTATTCTTTAAAATTTTAAAATAATGTTTTTCGGTAAAATAAATGTTTAGATTGTAAAGCGTTTATAATTCATGGATATTTATTGCTGTGCATCAAATTAAAACAATTATCTCTTTAATAAAGTAGGTAACAGTAATGGATATTATTTCAGGATATGTGAATGGCTATGCATTATATACGGAGGCAGGTAATAATTATTAAATTGGTGTCCATACAATATAAATCTGACATAATATGATACAATTTAATTAATTCAAATACACACCAACAATTGGTTGTATATTTATATTCAATCTAAAAAAAAATAATATCTATTTTTATTTTTATTTTTAAGATGTTGGCCGGAATTGGAGTCCATTAGAATATTGTTTAAATGAGGTTAGAGATTGAGTTATATTTAAATAATACAAGCTTGTCATAAAAATTATGTACTTTTAATTCTGATTGTTTAATGTAAAAAATCATACTTTATTAGATAAGACGGTTTTATATTGTTATGATAATGTCCCCATTTCTATATTATATTACTTATTAATACAACACCTCACCATAATTGCACCTATTTTTTTATTAGTATGTGCACATTTAATCAACATATTTTGTATTAATTTAAATTTAATTACATTAATGGATTAATAAAACATTAAAACTACATTTTATATCGGTTCATTTTGTATATAAGAACAACTAACTACGGTTATGGAACTTTTTGCCGATTTAAACTAATATAAATTGTAAAACTAGCTATCATATTGTTAGTAGGAAAAACTATAAAATTAAAGTAGCTTTATTTGAATAGTTGTTTGTTTTGACTATAGTGTATATAAATTAAAGGAATATTTTCTTTTTTTAATATTATAATGTAATGTACTACCTTATTACAATTATAGTTACTTATCTTGGAAATAATGTATCATTAAAAAAATAGTAAATAGTTTAATTTTACTCATGCTAAAAATTGACCCTACTAGAAGTCCTTCACACAATTATTAACCTAACACAATTATAGAAGTATAGAGTGTGAGTATAGAAATGTGGTGTACCTCAGGGTACAACACTTTCCTCAGTTCTCTTCAACATTCATTTAAACGGGATAAAACTACTTAACTTATACAGCAATATTATTTGTTACGCCGATGACACGATGTTGACTTGTAGAGGTGTCACCTGGGAAGAAGTTTTCTCAAATATTGAGGTTGATTTATTGTCCATTAAAATCTGATTAAGTGAAAACAATTTATTTCTAAATTTAGATAAATCGGTCATATTACTTCACTCCCTATTTTGAATGTACCATATCTACCATAGTTGAATTAAAAATCCTCGATCAAATGTGTCATGATATGAAATGGAAAAATCAAATTTTTTTTTTTTATTGATCAAAAAAGACATCGGCAACAAAGGCCATTAGTCATATACGTTACATTGATTACATTTTTGAATCTTAAATATAGTATTTTTAAATTAGATCGTGTAATTCATATTTTCTTAAAAAAGTCAAGATTTGAAATGAGGTGTCTGCATTTAGTCCGAGGGTTGCGTCTAAGGTGGTTGGGATATTCAGCTGATGGAGTGACGACATTCTGTGAAGATATGGTGGATTGTTAGTTCAGTACCACAGGTTGTGCAGATAAGTTTTTCGTCCTTTGACATGAGGTAACCGTGGGTTAATCGAGTATGCCCGATGCGAAGTCTGTTCCATAATTACTCTTTCTCTTCTTTTCGTGAGGCAGTTGGGCCAACTGAATATGGAGTTTTTAATTTTTCTCAACTTGTTGTTTTATTCGAGCCAGTGTGTTTGCCATTTGATTTTAGTCAGTTCTTTAATTTGGTTTTTTATGTCTGCTAAAAAGTGATATTTAATATGGGGATATCTGTGTATTCTGCTGCTTTCTTACCTTCTTGATCTGCCTTTTCATTGCCCTCTATGTCGCTGTGCTCCGGTCAAATTATTTATAATACCAATAAGTTGAGAAAAATGATCTATACCATGAAATTACAACGTGTTATACTAGATCATAAAGACATAAAAATACTTAACTACTTAACTCTCTTTGAATCCGTCATCACATATGGCATAATTGGCTGGGGTAACGCCTTGATAATGCGCTATTACGGCTTCAAAAAGGCCAAAATAGTATTATGGGAGTTGCTTGTAATAAAAAAGGAGATATCCAACAAAAAAATTATATGAAGAATTTAATGTACTCAATACAAATAATTTATACATAAAAACCAGTACCACTTACGTAAAAAAACGTAATCTATTATACAGGAAAGGATCAAATCTGCTATTTGCAGAAAAGGTGGGATGTTCGGAAAACAGAAGTTTGTGTCTCCGCGAGATAGTGACCTAACCTAGGTTAGTAATAGTGGTCCAAAAAATCTCTAGAATTTGAAAACACTGAAGTCGCTGAGTAAGCGTAACTAGTGTAAGTATATTACAAATTCAAAAATTCAGACTTTGCACAACTGCGCATCGTCAAAGAAGAAAATAGGCGGCGTGCCTACCTGTGATTAGCGAAACGGCAATAATATAATAATATGTATTCGTCTTTGCGTTATAATATTAAGTATACATCATATTAATTGTAGGACACGACGTCGTAAATAAAACGATTACCCGTTTAGGTAACGAAAACGAATCGGCGAATAAAAAACGCACAGTGATCAAGGCAAGACGTGCGCCTATCTACACGCGTTTCTTGTACGTTTCGGGCTGACGTTTAATTTGTTTATAATACGCCGAGCACTGGTCGTGAGCTACGAGTAGTAAAACGACGTCATGTGTTGTACATTCTACAATAATAATAATAATAATAATAATAATAATATGTATTATAATTTATAATTGAGCGTCGGTAGTTATATCGGAATAGGATATAATACGCGCGAAAGAAAATACACGGCAATGGCATTTATATTATACCTACAGCTTACGGCCATGATTAATAACGACGAAAAGAATAATAATAATAATGTTATTGCTGTCGAGCTGTAGTCGATGACGTGTGTGCGAGATAAACCGACCAGAACCGGACAGCGACTCGTACCACAGTGTCCGCACCGTACTTACCACTTATACCAGCTACATCGCAGTCCATAATATTATTATTATTATTATTATTATTACCATCGACGTCATCGTCTCGCGGTTTTTTTCTGCTCTCCGGTACACCGCCTCGCTGCCTCGTCCGGCGCGTCGTGCCCAGCGAATTTCCCGACCGTCATCGCAACAAAACAACAAAAACTGATATAATAATATTATCTCGCGGGTGTACTTCTCATAATATAATATGTGTCCGTAATAATATTATAACAACCGGTTTCGGACTAATAATAATCGTCGGTTATTACGACGCGTTTTGGCACGGTAGAGTTGGCGACCGGCGGCGTACCCACCACCACACCGCCTATTACGCGAGCGCCTCATTTATGTCTTCCGACGACGAAACCAGGATGGTTCTGAAGTATATGTATAGGTACATTTTTACGAGATCCGAGGGAATCGGACGAGAGGGAAAAAACATTTTCGTTTTTAAAAAAAAAACCTATTCTTCCGACACCCGCGTCGGCAACGACGACAACAACAACAACAACAACAACAACAACAACAACAATGACGACGACGACGCTACGTCTCGTCCGTACCTATATATGTATATTATTATTACACTATCGTAATTCATACTATGAGTGGCTACGAGTGGGCGATTAGCACAATTGTTTTATCATCGTGATAATTATCGCGATGGCCGACGGTAATCGCCGGTCGTTATTATTGTAATTTAATTTTTTTTTTCTCGCTCTTGCCGAACCCGTGCGCGCGTTTCGGGCGTCGAGCGCGATTGCCAAGGTCAAAATCGCGCCAGCCCCGCCGCCGCTGATTCTGCAGTTGAAATGGCCGGTCACCGGGTGGCAGCCGAACACTTCCAGGCCGAAAGCCGTTGCTGCCGCAGTGTTGTCGTGTGCTCGTGGTGGTCTGTATAGATCGCAATAATATAATATACTATATTATAAATAAAAAATATAAACGTTATATTAGGCGATATATTATAAGCTGCCAGGACGCGCACGCTGCACAAATTCAGCTTCGTCTTCCGGTCTCTGCTGGGTCGTTTCCGGTCCACCCCCGTCGCAGATCATAGTCTTGTTTTCCCGACGACTCGTCAGTTCCGGGACAATAAGTTTTTCGCGAGGGTTTCCCATCCGATCGTCTTCGCGTCCGTTGACCAAGTGACGATTTCTGTATTTTCATTATACACAGTCGACACTATAGTTTATTGAAATATCGTTACCGTCATGCACTCAGGCTCCAGGACGATGCAATTTGTGTTGACGGCTGTGGTCCTGGTGACCATCGTCTGCACGGCAGCGGGAAAGCCCGCGAAACCCAGCAGACTGGGTAAGTGCTAGTTTGGAGGTCCTACTCATAAGGCGATGTGGGATTTTTAATAGTCAGATGAGGCTTAGAATAGTCTTCGGGGGGTTTCGAACCACCGTCGGATGATTATATTAAGAAAATGCGCACGTGTTCGGCGGAATTTAAAACTTTAGCAAAATCGGAGGTAACTTCTACACGATTTTGTTTTTGAGTTTAAACACGACTATTAATGTGATATAATATTTTTATAGTACCTATACACATCGTAGTAATGTTCGTATAATCGCTACGCGAAGTGCTATAAATGGCCGGGAGGATTTATGTGAAGTGTTCGTTTCATCAATACATTAATTAATATTATATTATAATGCCATGATATTATATTGTTCTATAGTATTTTTATGTACGCCATATTTTCTAACCTTTGTGAACGGAGACCTTCCAGTTTAATAATGACCCCTATAATATGTGTTTTAATATACTATTTGACTTGTTTTCATTCCACAATATTATTGTAGGTTCGTAAGCATAATTATATGATTTTTTACCTCAAAAGAAACTGTTGAATAGAAACCCCGTATTTTTCCATACAAATCGACTAAATAATGATACTTCGTATTAATCTTTCGCGTCATATATATATATTATTTACTGCATAGTATATCGAATTGATGAAAACATATTCTTATATTGTGTTATGTAATTTTTGATTTCAGCTAAGTACACGACGCTATGCAAGCTGTCAGACCCAAAATTAAGCCAATGTTTGACTAACTTAATGAAAGATATTTTAAAGCATTCAAAAACAGGTAAACTTATGTTATAATTTAAAATACATTATATTAATAACTAATAAGGACTAATGTAATTTAATTATACTTTTAATTAAAACAGTGCAACATATTCTAGGTATATTATTATATTTCTAAATACTTTAGTTGAACATAAAACACATCATAAATCATAATAAGTTTATCATAACGCTTTTAAAATGTATCCAAACAATACAAACGATATTTATAAGTAATGAGTGTATTATTGTTATAGTGTAATGTTTGTTTCAACTCAAATTAGTTGTGTATATATAAATATTGGTATATGTTAAATTGTATTAATCATTTATGCATTTTTGATTTCGTCCTCCTTTAATCATTATTCATAATAATAAATTGTTCACAGGTATACCTGAACTTAACATACCGGCGTTGGAGCCATTTATCATTCCAGAAATTGATTTAAAAATATTCCAAGGCCTGAGTTCCTCACTTTTCGGTGGTACCGTTCAAAGATCCAACAAAACTAAGGCATTTGCACGCAATTTGATTGTTCATCATTCATCTGAATTTGATATTCACGAGCTTAAGTAAGTATCAACATCTAAGATAAATGTATTAATAATGATTCTTTATAAATATTAAACGTGACCACTAACCAATTCCGCTTATTATATTACCATAAATAGTTATATTTTTTGTATTATATTTTATTAACTCTTTCCAGGGTGGATATTAAAAAGAACGAATTTTTCATCGACCTCTCTTTCCCAAAACTTCAAATAGAAGGAGAGTATGACGTAAATTTAATCATGTTTAACATGCCAATTAAAAGCACAGGGCCTGTGTACATAAACGCCAGTGAGTATGATAGTTGTAAAATACCTTATTAATATTGCAGAGGAAAAGTAAAGTCTATACTAATTATATATTTATGGATGATCCAAAATATCAAATAGTAACAATTTTTAAATATCTGTTCTATAATATTATAATTTATATCGATGGGATCCATTGTGACCCCCCGCTGAAATGACTGCAATTGTCTGCAAACATTTCAAAAAGTATATATATGAATATTAAATAGGTATTATATTTCTATTATTATTATTATTATTACTAGTATCTATGCACAAGAACAGATAGCATACACTTTTCCAGAAGAGTGGACGATTTCAATCATGTTATTTTCATAGATTTATTATTTAATTATCACTTTAATATTTATCGTTAACGACAAAAATATTCAATAATAATATACCATCTCCATTACTAATTGCCATTTCTAGAAAAAATTGAAGAAAAGTTTAGCTCTCCTCCAGTAGAGCTGAAGTTAATTGTCACATTTCATAGTGATACATTCCACTATCTATACCCTGTTTCAAAAAAATAATATACCAGATTTTAGTAAGAAAAACCGGTTTGGCCCATGGCCGCCTGGTATGTTCTCTTTTGAAGCAGGGTATAAATAGGTAATAACACAACAACTATTATTTGTGTTGGACCATTTTAGGGTAAAATCGTTCACTTGTTCGTTTGTTCGTTTTCAGTTTTAAATTTGAAAAATAGGTTCAGAAAATTATAATTCTTTTGTTTACATAAATTATTTTAGCAAAACCATAGTTTAAATTATTGTAGAATTTAAATTATTTTAGGAAGATATTATTATCTAAAAATTGTATCTATTTACTATTTTAATCACCGATAACTTCAATGGTTCCGGAAATGACAAAAATGATTTGATACATAATTTTGAGTCACAAAATTTTTTGAACCTTGGTAATGAAATTATTTTTTTGTTACAATCATTTGGTTATAAGAAAAAAATGAACATTTTCAAAAACCATAAACAGAACTTTTTTACGAGTAATCTATGTTCATTATACTCTTTTTGTTCACACCCAGTATGTATATTTTTTTACACACAATTTGTTTCTTAAGTGTTTTCAATATTTCGCTCTTTTTTGGTATAAGGTGTAGGTATACAATATTTTTGAACAGCACTCGTTCGTAAAAACGATACGCATATGTTAAAAATATTAAACACTATGCCTTACACTTATGATTTTGTACATATGGTAGTAATAGGTAGTTACTGTATTAATATTTCTTGAATGAAGATTTATTTCACCATTGATGATTAGTGAAATAACTAAAAAAGAAAATTCTAAATATATAGATCTTGCACAATATCATTATTTATAATTAAATTATAATTGAAGAAATCTTCAACACTATTTAGTATAGTGGTTGGAATAAATCTCACTATTAATGTGAATAAATCATTCAATAAATTCGTAAGTACTTTTCCCACACATTGAACATAGCATAATATATTATTACATCAATAATTTTTTCAATTAAATATTTTTATATTTAGATATCAGAAATATTTTTTTTCATAATTATTGTTAGTGAGCAATATAACTTGCATAGGTAATATAATAATAATAAACAAAATAATTATGTTTTTTTTTATGGTTTAAAATTAAATCAAATGTATAAATACCTACATACGACGGATATTTTACAAAATACTTGATGTTTGTAGTTTGCATTTTGTATTTGGCTAAACCATTTAATATACTTGGTATATTATTATTGATTAATATAAAAATCAAAAATCAAATCAATTTGAAATTGTTATCAATAATCTTGGGCAAGTAGATAGAACAATTTTTCCCATTTTTAAATGTCACCATTTAAAAAAAAAATGGCAAAGCACCACATTAAAAAAAACTGTAATTTACATGATTTACAAAATCGATTTTTAATGAATTCAGTAAAAGTATAGATTACGTAATCACTAATCAACCACTTGTGTAAAGTAATTTACTATGCCTAACCTTGAACCCATATCAAACCTTGAATTAATTAAACAATAGGAAAGGTAACCAGGAAATACAATAATCCTAAATAGTAATTAATACTTCATGTAAGTACTAAAAACATTTTAACCAACTAATCATTAACATTTTTTTTTGCAATAATTACACAATTAAAAATCCAGCAAAAAAACTAGACCAGATATTATGATGAAAATCTCATTAAGCTGCAAATAATTTATTTTATAATTACATCGCAGAAATTAAATAACTTTTCTGTTTAAGCACCTATTTATCTTAGTTAAATTTACAACCACCCTAAAATGAAAACAATAATATATGGCTTATTGACATGACAACAATGTTTTTATTGCGTCCTTGTATTTAACATTATAGACAAGTAGTCAGAACTATATTGATATAATCATATTAAGTGATATTACAACAGTTAATAATTTATTGTTCCTTAATAAAAATCAATCTTATGGTAATATTGCAGCTGACATTACAGTCAAAGCTACATTGAACGGAAAGACGTTAAAGAGGAAGAACGAGTCTCTATTACTGTTCGACAATATTGACATCAAAGTTAACTTTAAAGACTATGCAATAATGATTGAAAATTTGTTCAAGAAAGATCAAAACCTAAGTAAGTGAAATAGTGAATGCAATATCATTTCCTTATCCGTTCGTTAATTTGTATATTACCATGATGACTAATAAGTATATAATATTTATATTGTTGTTGTTTCTTTTATTTTTAACGAAAACATTATTTACTTTAAAATTCTAACGTTTGCAAATGATGTTTAAATGTTTAGACAGAGCATTGAACGATATGATCAAGAGCCAAAAAGCCGAGTTGAGGAAACTAACGATGCCAATGATTGAAGAACTAGCCGGTAAAATGGTGCTCTCCATGATAAATCAGATTTTGACCGGTTTACCACTCGAGGAAATTTTCGTGACAGAGTAATGTCGGGTTTTTAGCATATCTAATGGTTTACCTTCAATGTAATTATTCTTCGTTTTTTTCTGTTCTGTGTATTTAATAACTTAAGGATAAAATTGTCACGAGTGTATTCGTATAAAATGTATTTTATTTTTTTATTAATGATATATTTATTGTTACCAATTTATGTGATCATATTAAAAATGGCAAATTTACTAGCCCTCTAAAAATATTTTACAACATTAGTATTCAGACTTATAAAAAACAAAATATTAGTGATTTCATATTTTTAATCTGGAAACAATTGTTCGTAAGTGAAGTGTTGAGTAAGTTTTTCCACAGTGTCTAACACGAACTCTTCGAGCACTTTTTGAATAATCGGCCTGAGCTCCATGAAAAACATAATGAAATTGGCATTTATAGCCATATTGAGTACTTCACCTAAGAGAAAATCAATACTAAAGATTAGTTATAAGTAAGATTTAAGTTAGGTACTTAATTTTTGGTTTATTTCAGTATTAATTGATAGCACATATTTGTTTTTATTATCATGTACTCTCGTGTTTTGTATTTTTTCAGTTTATATAATGATGTGGTTTTCTTTTATACCAATATGTTAATACGTTTAGAATAATATCTTGTATGAGTTTAGTTTTATAAATAACTTATTATTCGAAGATTTAATAAAATATTTAAAACTATTTAATGCGCATTCGGTATTTTTTTGTTTTGCCCACTCCATGGGTTGTGCAACTTACAGATTATTGTATAATCAATTCAATAATCACTTACCTAAGTGTTTATCACCGCCAAACAAATTTCTTAGTTCTATACTTCCTCTGCTTATTGCAATTCTAAGCGATATATGATGGAAACGTATGTAATTCAAACCATCGATATCGATTACGTTTCCCAGTAGCGATACATTGCATTTCACTCCATCTTAAATCCAAATCACTTTAGTTTTTTAAGAAAAAAACAGCTCCAAAAAAATCACTCATAACAAACAAACTTCTCAAACATGACAATAATACACCGGCACAAATGAATAATAAGTTTATAATAAAGCTACAAAAGTACAGCAACTTACATATGTCCAAATCGAAATCTCCTTGTCCTTTGATGACCATCCTCGCGATTTTCCCGTCTATGCTGTAATTACCGAGTACGTGCATGTGAGGGAATCTCACTTGGAAAATATACTTCTGTCTGTCTATGTCAGCTCTTCATTCAAGCGCCCGACAATTAGTAAATATATTTTGTATATCCTCACAAATGCAATAGACGAGGGCAAAAGTGTGTGTGGTGAAATTATTGTACTATGCTTACTTAAGATGACTAAGTGTAAAATTTTTGGTTCCGGTCACTAATAAATTTTTGGTCTCTATTTTCAGCCCGTTCCCATTCGTTGGAATAAGAGTGTTAATTAACATTGGGTCCATAGAGGCGACGCCGAGTTCGGGAATTCCTTAAATAAACGTTTTATGCAATTTTAAATGATTTTTTCCTCCACGCTTACGGTAAGCACAGTAATATAATGCAATAATTAGTATAAAACTATATAAAGAAGAAAAAATGTTTATTATTTACCTTCTGCAAGTTTGCTTCGTAAAAAATACGCTGAATCTATAATACATTTTGGAATGTCTGGATTTGAGCGGTGACAAATATGTAAGTAATCAGCTGAAATCGAATAATTTTTTTTAAACGAATCTAATTAATCATTTAATATATTTGTCCCGTAAGCATAACATAATAAACGTCCATCGGTTTTCAGTTTTACCCCGTTTTACATATTTTCATAATCCGATACTATTTGGATTTATTACATATACATTAGCTACAAAAAATGTTCGAATGACTATTTATGAGCAGTATTATATACCTAGCAGTTTACAAAAATTATTCAGCACACCAAAATAATAATGGCGCCGAATAAAATAAAATGTCTGATTATTCTGAAAAATGATAACAATTTCTTACTGTTGTACTTATTCTAAATTGCCTGTTTACATATGGATATGTTATTAAACTATTAAAATTTTACAAAAAACCTACCTATATAATACCAAAATGTTAAGTATTTTTTAAACATTATAAGTTGCATAAAATATATTGTACAACATGTAACATACTATTAAAAAAAGCCAAACATAGGTAATTAGGTAAAACGAAATACTTTAAACCACGAATTAATTATATACGAAAAAAGGCGTTTAAATAAAATATAGTTAAGCTATGTTAAGTTAGGTCTATCGAGGCGAAATACAATTAAATCATTATTCTTTATTACCTTCTCAAAAATAATTAATTCTTGTCTATACAATTATTTTTAGATTTATTTCACTATAAATTGAAACTTACGTATAGGCTTCAGTTCTGAAAAAATATTATTCACACAATAAACTATAATAATAATGGAGGTGTACAGAGAATTTGCCATTTCTACCGAACAAATAATGAACCGGTCAAATAGTAACTCCAAATAGTTCGAATAATATGCAAATGAGATTTGAACGACTTATAGTGTCCTAATATACTAACCGGTAAATGTAATTAAACCATTGCTTTTATATAGGCTCAAAGTTTGATGATTAAGGACAGTTTTAATTGCGATTTTCTTAAACTTTTTGTACCTAAGAATTATTTATTGATTAGTCTTTAGTAATTATTGTTATTTATTCGAATCAGTTCTCACGATGACGTTAACAAATATAATTCAAGGAAATGAAAAAATTCAATTCCAAGGTTAATAAAAAGTTACATTATAAACATATCAAATGAATAAATAATGTTTAAGCTCGATAAAAACTATACAAAATAAGTTTAAAAAATAAAACAAGTAACGACGATCTCACTCAATAAGCACTAACTTCTCGATCACCTTTGACAAACCCAAATTAAATGTAAATATAATATATATAACAGAGAACAGTAATATATAATGTTACGTAATTAAATTAAACACGTTAAAATTGACATATTTTGAATAAAATGGTAAAGACGTAATTAGCTGCAGATGTATAAAATGAATTGGATATATATGTACAATAGTCGTCTAGTATGTGGCGCTGTGTTTGGCTTCAATCCCAAATGTATTCTAAGGTCAAGTATTAGTCGGTGTTACTAGTTTGCCGATGGGTAACTACTCGAGTTTAAGTGACAAATTTTCGCCACATATATAAATATATAGGTAAACACAGTTCTTTTTTATATAGACATTATAAATTCAGATCCTGATGAAGTTACATATTAAATAAACCAAGAATAACGATTTTAGTTATTTTGCAGTAGGTAATTTAAAAATACTATTCGTGTTCCTTGGGTACTACCGAGTACCGATACCTTTAAAGTACATTATTATATTGTATACAGTACCTATACACAATGATATTTTCAAATGAAATGTTTTGAAAAAAATGTATTTAACCTACTGTAGTATTAAATACTAATTCCTAATAGTAAAATAAATTACTTAAATCACAATAATATTATACAATTTGCTCAGTAATATTATAAGGTAACAGACCGTTTTCGCTCAGAGCCATTTTTCTTAAACAATATATTGTAATTATTACATACGAAAAACGATTCTGAGGCAAGAGATGTCTCTGAACCCTGAAATGTGTCATCCTATTATATTACTAAGGATATATTATGATATGCTATGATTATTTTTAAAGTAAATTATTTTACTATAAACATTAATAATTCAGTATAGATTAAGAAAAGATCAAAATACTTTCAACATTGTTTCATGAATGAAAAATGAAAAAATAAATATATTTTAGTGAAAATTTCCAGTAAGGTAGCTAATTCAAGTTTTAATTAGGTACACAATTAAAAAACAATATCAATTTTACATCTATAAAATGCAGTGCATTCACATGCATTTAAAACGAACTCAGTGGCCTGAAAAATATTTAAATAGTACGATATTCTAATGATTTATTTCTACTTAATATACAATCATAGAACAAGGATACAAAATGACGCTTTATTCAAGGACTACAAATATTTATCTATTCTCATAACAAAACTAAATGTTTAAAAGCTTTTTAAAATTTAACAGACATATTCTAAATTCAGACCAGGGACAAGGTTTAACCATAGCTTAAAACTAAGATCCATCTATAACACTTATCAAAAACTCAAGGAATATTAATATCATCAAATCAAAGATAAAAATCAACCGGGGATATAATTCTACTAAATTTCATAAGTTATTATGACTCATGATAAAATCACTCAGCAATAGCTTAAGAACTAGATTTGGGAACTGCATACAGAATAAATCTAATTTTAAAAAAATGGTCAAATATATCTCTGACAACTATTGTAACTGCATATTTCTATCACTCTCCAGAATGCAACTTCCCTTTAAAAAATATCAATATTTCGTTATGAATCTTAGTATTCTCAGCTTGAAATATATCCACCTTAAATTACTTCAAAGCAAATATAAAATTGTCATTAGAAATAGGACAGTTACTACTGAGTTCAGAATTATAGTATAAAGTTGAGCTTGAGACTGTATACAGGATATTTGGAGTATTCAATTTCGGGTGCATGGTGAAGAGTAATTATATCCAATATATCCAATATCCATTATGTACTAATAGCTATAATAAATAACAAATGTAACTACTCAACAATATCACCTAGGCGTATCGTTAAGGACCCCAAAAGAAACAACTACATTTAATATAGAAATTCAGAATTCATTAACTGTGACGACCACCGTTGAAATCACCAGAAAAAAACAGTTGACCACAGACGTATGACAAAACAATATACAATTGCGATAAGCTGGTATGCGATGGTACAATACCAAGCACTGATGACAACTTTAAAGTTATGTATAACATCGTGAAATAATATTATTATCATTTATCGTTTATGTTTCCAGGTTTCTCTCGGATGCAGACTGCAGTTGCCCAACACAAAATGTATTGATCTGTCAAGTCCGACACGAACAGCGAATATGATAAATAACAACGCATCTCGCGGTGTCTGTGAGGCGAGTGTGTCGATTATAATAGCTCGAAATCAATAGTGAAAAACCGGTTTGGCTGGCGAATGCAACTACTGATGCAGTGAAAGAGAATATTATATTCCAATCAGCAACGCCATATTTGTATACCTTGGATTTACGCAAAAATTATACGATCGACCGCGGGCGAAGTAAAAATTGCATCCTAGGTACCTACATAAATATTTATGTCAATGTAAAAATAATGACTTAAGTACATGTCCATCCCCAACCCACCCAATCAAAATGTTGATATTTTTTTCAAGCCAACATTTAGCATTCGATATTTGAAGGATATTTCCACAATTTGCAAGCCTTTACTTTAATCATAAAACAAAAAAAACTAAGGGTGGGTTTGGAGACACATGTCCACAGCCACATCCATATCATTGAAAATACATTTTAAAATGATTGTTGAACCATCATTTAGCAGCCAATTAGCAGCGACTTAGTCCAATCGATTCAACAAATATGCCAATGTTTTGAAAATGAATTGTAAATTGCCTTTTAACTAATTTACAATAAACTCAAAAATTGTTTTTTCTTTATTTTAAATACAAAATTTGTTGCAATAAGTATATCTTATTATGTGGTGAAATTACAGTAATAGATAACTTGAGTAAGAAGACATACATCATTAGTGATAATAAGGTTGGGTTATTGGTTTTAGATTCTGAGGGGAGCGATGAATGTATTGATTTTACAATGGTGTGTGTTTTTTGTATTTAGTTTTTTTTTTGTCTGTCATCACGGTTTCTTGCAGTAAAAGTGCTTCGATTCTCTTGAGTAGCATCGTTTCTGGTAGGAAAGTGAATTTAGTTGGTGCTTTTGGGCAGTTAAAGTTTAAAATTCTCAATAGTTTTCAAAAGCAACCAGAAAAACAAACAAAAAGTTAAGGAAAACGTTAAATTTTACGCAAAACCATTTTTCGAAAAAATCGATTTTCGTTTTCAGTGTAACTCTAACAAAAATGACCGTAGATACATGAAACTTTCAATGAATATTTTTATAAGCATTTTCTATGCACCATAATATTTTCAAAACATTTTGATTTGTGTTGAACTATTTATAAGCCAATGAAATGTTCGATTATTATTTGTATTTTTTAAATCAAAATTGATAAAAAAAATTTCGCTAGGTCAAAAAACTTGAAATTTAACACAAGGTTCCTTGTAAACTGTTATTGATGGAAATTTAAAAAAAATTTGAGCATAAATCCACAATAATTTTTTATGTGTAGTTTAACTCAGAATTTTGACAAAATTCGTAATAATCATGAAAATTAGCAAATTATATTTAGTTAAAAATTTATAAAAATGTTTCTATTTATATCTAAAATTTAAAAATTAAATACAAGATTCTTTACAAGTTTATCTAACTTTATCAAAAAAAAATTTCTACCGGAAAGTCAAATTAAATTTTATGCGCGTTTGAAGTTGAACTTTTTATAACATTGGATATTCACTCGATTTATCTTGTAGCAATTTTCTTTTTTTATTTTAATTCAAAAACGAATTACTGTGGACACTTGAAATTTACACCAAATATTTATTTTATTAATTCATATACATGATAAAATTTTCAAAATATTCTGACTCGTTTTAGGCTGTTAACGGACATTTTCCTTTTTTTCTATAAATGTCAATAAAATTTTACTGGTTGGGTCAAAAAGTATGAAAATTGAATACAAGACTCTTGATAACTTGTTAGAATAGCAGTTGAAAAATATTAAAATTACATAGGCCCTTGAAAGTTTTAAAAATTATGAAGTTATTGGTGGCTGATGATGTTTTTGGACTTTTATGTTCGTATACAGTCGTGATGTTAATTGAAAGATTTCTAGAAAGATTTTCCCTAGTTTTACAAAATCTATAAAGAACAAAATTATAGCGACTTTTTAGTGTTCAGCAGCTTAATGAAACACTTGTTTAACTTTAAACAATATTGTATAGTAATTTTAATCTTTTTTAATCACATCAATATCAGTAGACCTATGAATATTTATGATTACCTCTCAAATTGGTATGTCACCCGTTAGATGTAAATTGATAAAATGTTGTATACAATTGTACATTACTGTATTATTAAGATAGCGGACTAATCATCTGATTATATGTTTCAGCACTCACCTTATATTTTTAATTAGTGAGGAAAAGAATTTACCTTTTCCATAAGATTAAGAATAAATAAGATCCAATAAAACATATTATACTGGTGAAACATCGTATCAATTAACTGGGGCCACACCTACACGTGACCTTGAGATAAAAACGATTTTCACATATACGATATATTGTGAATTATTAATGTTAAATTTACAGTAATATCTTTCGATACATAACTTATTTATAACACCAGATTAATAGATAATAAATCGTTGTAAAATATTGTAATTGTAAAATAAATAAATATTGCACCTAGCAGCTAGCATTAAATTGGAATAAGGATTAACACACTTTTAAAAGAAAAGCAACAGGACCTCCGCCGTGTGTGATCAGTACCTACGATCATACTGAACGAAACTGTTAACTTATAATACAAATTTAAATGGATGTTTTCAATTTTTGTGTCTTTTAAAAATTAATAATATTATGGCACATTTATGTAAAGTTAATTTATGTGAATATTTTTAAATAAGGTTATAATTTCCATCGAGTATTCAAATAATTGTAATATAAGTACCTATTAAGGATTTAGCAAAAAAACTTGCATAAAATTATAATTTTAGGTGTCTACTACCTATATGTATTATATAGTATGCGAACGAGGAAATCACATAATCTCTTGATGACTAATAAGACAGTCTGACAGGGTTCAACGTCAAGAAGAATATTTTTATTTACCTAATAATTTCACTATGCTTACAAATGTAAGTATTGTGTATTAAATTATAAGCTAATGTATTTACTATTCAGCATTAAGTGCATTTAAATTGTACACACTACACATGAATTAGGTAGGTAGGTACCTACTAAATGAATAACTGGTACTCTACTAAACCGTTTGTTCATCAATTTATCTCTCGATGATTATACCCATATATAAAATATATATACTCTAATATATTGGTTATTTTTGATGTATTCAAGATTAATTTATAGATGCATTTAATTTTCCTGTGAAAGAAACTGATTATATAATAATATTATTATGTGTTTCTATGTATTTGAAAAGAATCACGAAAAAAAGCTTAAGTCATATTATACTCTTTGACAACAAATAAAACTGAAAAAAAAACACAATAAATAACTAAAAACTATTTAAAATGGTGATTTTGCGAAAAATGTATTTTTATTGTTTGTATATGAACTGTTTACCTACTTATCTCCGGGGCTTAAAAAAGTACGCTTTTTAAATTATTCAAATTGGAAATTCTTTTTAAATGTCTATTTATTTCAGCAATTCTAATAAATAATACCTACATATGTTAGTTTTGATACCTCACAAACACGAATAAATAATAAGGTATCACTATATCAGTAATAAACAAAATATGTACAAACTAAATTATGGTCGCTGATTATCGTATTTCTAAGTTATAAAATATTATCTTATCGATATTATGTCTCACCTCTTCGACACTTAGTTTGGATACATAAATACAGAATATCACAGTATTCTGGTTCAACATTATGATTGTTCGAAGGTAATTTAGTCACTTGAAGCCAAATGACTATAATTTAGATAACGATAGGCATCGACGAGCATCCATTTGTACATTCCTTTCATTAAATTCTAAAGAAAAAAACACTGTACATGCTATCATTAAAAGGAATTAAAAATTAATCTACAATCATGCACTGTTATAATGACCTTCAGGTTTCTTTATATTTACGTTTTACATAATGCTGTAAATTTAGTTGAAGTTTAAATACAATGTATGAGGCAAGATACAATCAACCAAGTTCTATTATAAAATTACTAAAATGGTATTCTGCAAACCTTCAATTGTATTTTTGCTCGGTTTTAACATAAACCATTCTAATCTGGCGAGTGCTGAGAAATGAACAAAATAAATCAATCGATAAATACTATACAATATTGACACGTCAATAAGTTCAGTAACACAGTTGACAGGTGTTTGTAATTTAAATTATTGCTTCCGCATAAATTGAATGAATAGCTTGTTTGTTTATAAATATAATTAATCATGCCCGATTATTTTCAATCGGGTACTACCTATGTATTATTTTTTTTTTTTTTTTAAGGCTTAATCCAGGCCATTTAGGCCCATTGCCGCTTCCGCTATCTCCTTCCATGTTTCTCTGTGTGCTGCCTGTTCTTCTCCATTCCGTACTCCTAGCATTTTGAGGTCTTCCTTAACTCGGTCCTCCCATCGTTGTCTAGGCCTTCCTCTCGGTCGACTTTTATCTGGCTTCCATTTCGTGATGGTCGATATAAGTCTGTCCTCTGCTCTCCAGACGTGACCGGCCCACCTAATTCTCTGGCTCTTGAGTGTGGAAACTATATTGGACTCGTTATATAGAGCATTGAGTTCTCTGTTTGACCTTATCTCATAGTTACCTTCGTCATTTCTTTTCGGCCCAAATATTCTTCGCAGGACTTTCCTTTCGAAAATCCTTAATTTGTTTTCGTCAGACTTGGTAGACGCCCATGCCCCACAGGCATACAGTACAATTGGTCTAACAAGGGTCTTATATAATCGGATTTTTGTTTTTCTTGATAATAATTTAGATTTAAATAATTGGACTAGTGAAAAATAACATTTGTTTCCGGCTGCGATTCTTCTGTGGATTTCTTCGTGGCTGTCCCCCTGCGAGTTTATATCTACTCCTAAGTACTTAAAGTTTCGAACTCTTTCAAATGACAAGTCTTTTACTGTTAAAGCATTTTGTGGATGTTCTCTCCTTGATACAATCATGAATTTGGTTTTATTTTCATTAATGAT